GAGTACACTCAGTGAGCATGCTCAGAGTACACTCACGAGCACACTCACTGAGTGTACTCAAATGTCACATCATATGACATAAAAAATGTTGCATGTCACACAACAATTTGAGCATGCTCAAAATTTGTTAAAATAACGTGCTCAGAGCATGCTCAAAAAACGTGCTCATTAGCGTAAAGTAGTGGCATCACTTTTCGTATGAAAGAGCACGCTCACGCGAGCATGCTCAGCACTAAATTTGAGCGCGCTCATAGCGTGCTCTTTGTCTATTCGGGATTGTTAATAGAATTCAAGAATAACGGTATGCAGCTTCAGAAAGCTGAGCCTAAACTGTAAGTGACCTCAACGTCCTCTGTTATGATCGACTCTAGGACTTTAGAATAACCTCATCTATCTCAAACTAGAGAGTTTATCAGAGCACTTTAAGACGGATGTAAAGTTAAAGTTAATAAGTCTTAAAATACAATCAGAACTACAAGAGATCCTAAACAAATGAAGAAGATATTCAGACTTTAAAGCTTCACACTAAACTCCCCTATGAATTTCAGACATTATAAGTGAACGACTCTTGTAAAAACTTCAAAACTGCCAGATAACAACTTACAAACAATACCATCAACAGCTATGAAGAATCCACAAAATGACAATTATGGCAATTTGTGAGGGAAGAACATTTTCAGCTTGAAATAATTTCATCTAAAATGATAGTTTTCAAGATATCGCAACACCATAACATCTCTATGAATTGATATAAAACTTTCCACATATGGCAGCTCCCCCATACAGACACACACACATGCCACTCATTCTGAATATTTTGACAGTAAACAATTTGGAAAACAATGCGGTGCTGTGATATTATGGCATTTAACAAAGATTTTTTCTGTTGCTGTTGTTGTTTTTGTTGCTGTTCACAGTCACCACACGTCGAATGCCAATTTTACAAATTTAAAATGTAACCATGGCAATAAATTTCAAATTATGACTGACGATAATGTATGGAATCAAGAAGAAAACAAAGTGAAGTAATAAAATCGAAAGCTTAATATGTTGTGGGAATTTCCATTCATCTCTTTTGACTGAATATAAACATTAAACAATGATGGTTTTTTGCTGCAGAAAATTAAACGTTTCTTGCCCTCATCATATTCAGACATGGATCATTGAATTTGAGAAGCATATTTCTTTCCTCCTCTCCGTGCAAGTGAAAGTTGATATATTGATACGAAAAAAAGCAAGTATAAAATTTTTTACTTAACAGAAGCAGAGAAGAAAAATTCGATGCCTTATCTCTGATTTTGCAATTTTTTTTTATCGTTTCATTTTCTTTTTACTTTACTTTTACTTTATAAAGGCAAGCATAATGATGAATTTTTAAGTTGTTTACGAAATTGGAAGCGCAGAGAAAGAAGAAAAGTTTCAAAAAAGAATCACGCAATACTTGAATGAGAGGATAGAAAAACCTTTTCATGATTTCAAGTACTATCTCACTAGATTTTGTAATTATCTACATACTCAAAAAAATATAGTTTTGCATTATCTCCCTCGCAACATGATGTGAATCTTATATCAGTGAACTCAAGCATATTTATGGTTAAGATTGAGTGTATAAAATGAGTTGTGGAGTTTTTTTGTGATTTAAGTTAACTTGATGCGCTTATTTGAGGTTTTGGCGGGAACATTTTTTTAGAAACAAGGTTTAACTTGAGTGAGTCCTAGGTTAGCTTGTAAGTACTATGGGTCCTCGATTTGAGTAGATTCGATTAGAATAGGATTTTTTTTGGAACAAAACACCTACTCAAATCGAGGACCCTCAGTATGTATTAGGATGTTTTAGGTTATTTATCTAAAAATGTCTTTGGGTAACTATATAAATAATTAATATAAATGTACACTAAAATGACAAATTACTCGAAATCATAACGAACTTTTTTTGAAAATAAGAACTTCGAAGATTCGAAATCCGAAAAATTAGAACCTTGAAAATTCGAAGTTCGAATAATAAAAATTCAAAAATTTCTTTTTGCTAACATTGGAAGTAAATATGTAACAGTCTCAGATTATGAATTATTTTAACTCATGAGTCCTAGATATTCAATCCATTAAGCTAGTTAACCTAAACAACTTCAGAAGCACCTCTCAAAGTGATTCCCAAGATTTTCTATAATTTTTAAAATCAGTGCGAAAAAAATCAATTTAAATAAATTTTCTACAAAAGATTAATATGAGAATAACTTGAGTAAATTTCCCTCTTATATTGCATTGAAAGCACTTCCAATTATAAAAAAGAAACTTTTCACTTTTTTTGATTAATGAATGAAGCAAATCAATGGATTTATGCTTCATAAATTATATTCAGCTAAACTTCCATCGTCAACATTATGTATTTGCGATTGATATGGAATTGTATTTGATAATGTTGAATACGTAATGGTCTATGAGACACCATTCATGACAGTCCGGAAATTTTCCATTATTAAGTTGTGAACAAATGGCGATAATGAACAACATGCGATAAGTAATTGTTGATCAAAAAAAATTTTTGTTTATCGGATGTATGAAAATGGCTATTTTGTATTTCTACAGCAGAACTAGCACACGTAGGCTGCATGAAAAGTTCTCTCCTACAAGACTACAAAAATAAGTAACGGGAAATTCATTAAAATTCTTAAGCCATACAGAGCATGTAAATTGCGACAATTTACCTTAAAAAATGATAATTTTTTCTAATATACTCAAATTACATCATACGCCTTCGAACCGAGAAAAAAAAATAAGGTAGACAATTCGATGAATATAAATTAGAGTCTCGGCTTAGATGCAGCAAAAAAATAAAGGCTGAGAATATGTGTTAATGGGAATTGAAATGAATGCAAAAGAAACATTTTCTTTATTATAAAATCATCAAATCGTGAATAAATTTGAATATATATAAACTTATGTACACATTCATACACACATAACGTTTCCTCGAGTAGATGTGTTTGCTTATGGACGTAGCAAGAAGAACACAATACAAAATTCATGTAATCGAAAAAAATAAGCAATGAGAGTAACCAAAACAAAAAAATTTAAATTGAATGGAAAGACTTCTTGCCTTTTTTTTTTCGCAAAACCGAGCGAGTGTGAGAATAAGAAATAATGTTTAAAAACAAGAGTCACGAAATGAGAGAAGTTGTACAAACCAGTTCGACGTGCGGTGTGACTCAACAGAATAAATTACTTTTTGAGTTGACTAAATAGATATGATACTTTAGTAAAAGGTCTGTTTCTCATCGAATCATCAAAACATTGACATGTCTTGTTGATGAAAATTACTTTCCATTTCATTTGGAAACATATCATGCGATAGATTCGACAAGATAATGATCTTCATGATCGCTGTATTTTTTAACGGAGTTTCCCTAACTTTACAGTATTGTCTGTCTGTCTGTATGTATGATGACATACTTGTATTGTGGGTTTTATTAGACAAAAAATTAAGAGTTGCGAGAAAATGATGAAGGATACGTCAGAGTAGGGTCTATATGATGGGTAGTAAGTATGGATCAGGGTAGGTTTTCGATGTAGTCAGGATAAGAGTAGAGTAGGGCTTTGGTTGGGATTAAGATAACCCCTACGTCAGTAGAAGTTCATTATAAACATAAGTTATGAAAAAATTCAGCAATAAGTAACAATGCGCTTCCGACAGTCACGTATGAGCACGTTTAAACTAGTTTCTTTCACTTTTCAGGTTTTTTAAAGATTCCAATTATATGTTGTAAAATGCTATTATGGAAATGAGACTAATTTGCAATGTCTGAAGGTCGTTGGATTTTTTTTACATTATGCCTTTCATGCATATGGTATTTGGCTGATGCGAAAGATTTGTAAAAATAATTTTCACAAAGCTGATAATCTGAAAGTCATACAAATTAAGTGATTTTTTTCTGAAATTTCTTACATCTCATTTAAGCGAAGCTTTATTTTTTGCAACTTAATCCATTAATTTCCGCGCTACCGAATTTAATTTCTCTTAATCTTCAACATTTTTAAAAGCCATTGAGTCTCTAATCAAGCCGCTAATACAACATGACTTGTCATATTCCGTTAATTTAACAAAACTACTCAATGCACAATACGAAGTGGAAAGTTATCCGAAAATGTAAAACGATAGCATGTCGTCAATAGAATTTATATTACAAATTAATTAATTTAAATGTCCACAACGCGCTCGTTTTCTTTTCTTTCTTGACTGCTTCAATGTAATAGAAACAATTGGTCGTTTGCCTATTAAATAATTTTCCCTGAGATCTTAGACAATCATCAATTATGTACCTTTTGGTTGAAATGGATGGAAAAATATAGAGAAAGAGAAACAGAAATGAACAGAAGCAAATTTGCTGTGTTTTTATGGATTTTTTTGCGGGTGTTGATATTTTGTCTGACTGATTGATTGTTGGTTTGATTAAGTATTGAAGAATTATGTCGACTTAACGCTCAACACCTTCTTACGATTAGCTCATTGTATTCAGAAACCTTGAAGGTTATTACGAAATGATGTCAATATTCTAATACTTTGGAGTTATATGCACCACAGACGCCTTTTTAGAAGTCATTTATGTATTACCATTTGCAAATTTACCCTCTTGATTCTACAACTCCCCCAAAAATGCGTCACAATTCCAACAGTTTTGCAAAAATCATCCCAACTTAATATTTATTTAACTTCCATTGAAAAAAATAATTCAATTTTAATAGACGGAACAAACAGAGAGCTTCAATAGAAGGAAATAAGACAACAAGAGATGGAATGGACAATTTTCATTCACTTTAAAGTTAAATTACTTTAAGAAGAGCAAATAAAGAAAAAAATAAATAATTCCAAGAATTCCTTCACGGAGAAATTATCTATTGTCATGGTGCTTGAACATCAAGCGGCATATTATAAACGCAATATGTAGAGATGAGGAATTTGTTTATTTCAAGTAAGGGGAAATAGAATATTAAAAGGCACTCACCCATAGTAAGTGATTGAACTTTATTGCGACGATCACGACGTGTTATAAATGGTTGTAAGCCTGGTGCAGAAACTGCTCTTTTTGGAGCTGTTAGTGGGCGATTAAATCCTGGTGCACGATAACGTGCACTTTTAACATTATTTTGTAGGAATTGATAAACACTTTGTGCTTTTTGTATTGCACCAGACGATGATGAAGAGGATTGAATATTTGATGAAGATGTGGGTAGACGTGGAAGAGAGTTCGTTGTACTGGCCGTAATTGTAGACATTTGCAGACTTCTTGGCAACGTTGAACGAGTCGTTGTTAATCTATGATGATCATTATCACTCGACTCGTCTGTATCGTCTTCAATAATTCCATTACGTTTCCTTGAGCTCTCTTGACTCTGCGTTGATTCCCATAATTTTGAATTTTCTATATCATGATCAACGCCACCAATACTACCGCATGATCGTACACGATCAAGCTGCTCACGACTAAGGCTTTTAGGAGTAAATAATAAATCGCCAGCTGAGCGACGTTTTGCAGCTAAAATGGACATTGCTGATGAGGAATTTTCTAAAGCTGAAAGTTTATTTCGTGAGTCGCAATTTGTGAGGAGAGCGGACTCGAAACTTCCTCGCCACGAGAATCTATCATAGTCACTGGCATGCTCCTCAGTCGTCAAATGATCTTGTGTTGGTTTTCCGTCTAACAGTAAATCATGGCTTTTTGATCGTGGCAAATTATTTAATGTCGGATCTTCAAAATTACTCTCCGATGTGCTGTCATCATCTGTTGTTGTAGCGGATATTTTACCTTGTAATCGTCGATGATGACGCGTTTGTTTTGGCGAATTGCTTTTCATTGAATCACCACTGCTCACTTCATGCATTAATGCGACCAATCGTGAACCAATATGATGCATGACTTTTGCAATAATCGGAGGTGAATTAGTAATGTTATTTGGTGGCTTTTCATCTGCTATTTTTGTAATCGATGCCACTAATTTTTGGTAGACAAAGGCAGTTTCTTTATTAATTCCTTCTTCAAGTACACCACCATCGCCCATATCACCTTCCTCATCATGTTGAGCTATTCTTGATGTACTATCGAATTTTTCAATTATTTCCTGACAACTTGCCGAAATTTGTTGCTGAATCTTTGATGATTTCTTTCCAGCTGATTCCTTATCACTACTTGTATAGTCACTTGAATCATAGGAATCAGACCAAGTGTCTTCAGAACTGAAATATTCAACAAGCTCCTTGACTTGTTCATCCTTAATTCCTGGTACAGTCTTCATTAATCTTGTCAGTTCATTTTCAAAATATACTAATTGTGGTGGACGTTGTCTTTGTTTTGACTTTGGCGTTCCAGCTGTTACAACATCATTGGATGCTGTATTGCGTTTATTATTTGCATTGGCAGCGACGAGTGACTTGAAGAATTGTCTCATTTTGGACATCATTAAATTTGTTTCCTCGTCTGAGCTCCAAGCATTAAAACTATCTTTACGCATAAGATTTGTTGAGGCAGTCGTTGGCTTTTCATTTATTGTTGGCTGTTCTGCCTCTCTATTTTCTTCCTCAATTTCTTCTAATTCTGTTTTCGTTTCCGGTGACTTTTGTCCATCGGATTTTAATAAATCATCATTCGAACCAATAAATCCACTATCACGACTGTGTTGCTTACGCGATTGCACGAGGTTACTATTGGCTGGCATCAAGAATTCTGGCTGTGGTGTTTTTCGTCCATTTTCGTCGTCCTCATCGGACTCATCGGAAGGATCAACAATTTCAACTTCCGGTGTCTTTTTCGTATTTCCTGTATCGTCTGTTTCTGGTTTCTTTACTTTTTTCTTTCGCTTTACAGTATCCGAATGATTTTCAGTCTTATCGAATGGATCATCACAATTGTCTGTCGTTTCTGATGAATTGTCAGATTCTTGCTGATGACTGTCATTTTGATTTTCTTGAGATTCTTCTTTTGCTAAAAGATTGTCAAGTGATGAGCTATGTGATCTACCTGTACCTCGTGCACGTACAAGTTTCTTTCGTCTTTGTTCAGGACTTGGTCGACCCTCTGAATCACTTCCAACACTTCCTGATCCATCCGTATCACCATTCCCATCATTTTGAAAACCCATAAATCCGCTAAGGAAATATTTTTCAAGTCTTGACGATGCAAGTTGTCCACAATCGGCTGGATTATCATCGGCAGTATTTAATGAATCTAAGCCTTCACTGCAAATGCTTGATGTTTCCGATGGACTTTCATCATGATCGTCAATTATTATAGCATTACTGCTTATGCTACTTGTCTGATTGTTACCATCGCCTAATCCAAAGAAGAAATATTTTTCAAGCTCAGAGGCATTAAGTCTTTGACTTCTACGATCACTTGATTCATATTCTGATTCCTCACACGATTCCTCAACAATCGTATGAAGTGTAAAGTCAATTGATACTCGATTATATCCACGCAATTCCTCTTCGCGATCCATTCCATTACTTAGTGACATTTCATCACTAGAATCGAAGTCACTTCCAGTTTCAGTCGTTGGAAATTCCTCTTCATCATGCTGACTTACTTCTTCCACCCACGAATCATCATCAGCTAATCCATCCTCTTGATAAACAACATTTGATAATGTTTTCTGGTCTGTTATCACTTTTACGTCATCACTATTTTTATTTTTATTTTTTTCACACTTTGGCGCCATCACTTCATTATTTTTCATATCATCATCATATTCATCAACATCTAAATCATTACAATTAATTTCATTTTCATTTTCAATATTGCCCGTTAACTTTTCACTATTTGGCGCATTTCTAATTTTTAAGCTCGGCTTTTCCTTCACTTTATTTATATTTTCTTCATAAAAGCCAATTTTACTTTTTACACTTGTGCCACTTGACAAAAGATCGCGAGGTTGCCAGTTTCTATGTTGCACGACAATTGAATCGCGCGATGACGAATTTGCAGTAATTATTTTTGTAGTGTCTGATGTGATTACACTAACGTGAGTTTCTGATGATGTCGTATCCATCGCGTAGTTATTATTATTTGCATTATCCTGTTGTGTGATCATGACTAAGCTCGTAAATTTACCATTGCCGTCCGTACTGTTGAATCGTTGACTCGAGACTAAAGCATTCTCAGTATTCAGTAATTCTTGTGCTATTGCTATTTCTTCATTTACATTTTGCTTCACACTTGAATTATTTTCCATTGTTGTGTTGCTATTACCTGTATCTGTCGGTGAATGTTGTTGCTGCTGTTGCTCAAACTGATCGTTCGGTAATGTTAATGCTGATGAAGCATTCAACATGTCCATGTATGTGTGTAAACTTGTTTTTATTGCTTGTGGTACATTATCGTTATTTTCATTAATCTCAACAACAACAGTCGATGTCTGCAAATCCGACTCTGTCGACAATGTTGTGTCATGGCTCTCTCGTATTCTCTCACCATCATCACGATCATCATTGAGACTTGGATTCAATGGACTTTCAATTTTTTTCAATACTTTTTCGACTTCTTCTTTGGTAGAACTCGTTTTCACGTCACTTGTCGCTACATTTCTTTTATCATATGATCCATTGAGGATCATTGAGAGATTACAACTTACAATTGGAGCTAAATTGCACTTTTTATCGTCACTCAAATTTAAATTATTCATAATAACATCCATTGAGTCCATTTGAAATTCACCATCTGTCTTATTATTATTTTTTTTAGGCTCAAGACTATCACAATTTGAGACGATTTCATCAAATTCGGCAATCACTTGATTTGCACATTCATCACGATTCGAAGGTAAATTTGACTTATTTTTATCATCGCTATTGCCATTCACTTTTTCACATTCCCTACTGTTTTTGTTTTCATCGTGTACTTTATCAGTGTATTGGTTAACGACAATTAATTCGTTATCATTGATAGATTTTATAGAATTTAATACAATATTTTTATCATCACTAATGTTATCAACATTATAGTCGTCATCATCATCATCGTCGTCAATAAATTTAAAATAATTCAATACAATTTCCTGTTCGGATGTATTTTCATGGTCAATTTGATCTACATCTAAGGGCTTCATGTAATTTAATTTTATACCATCTGTGTCTGTATCATTGTCGAACATGTCCTCTTCTTCCTCAGACGAGGATGTCGATAGAGCAGCATTGACTGAGCTACAAGAGTCTGTCTCAGAATTGTCTATATTTTTATTAACAACAAAAACTTTTGTGAATCTTTTCGACTTTGATCGTCGATCGTCAATTCCTGTATCCTCTGAATCTGTCGCACCAGATCCACTTGTCACATCATCTTCACGATTTGAACTGTCAGCATCACTACTAACATTTGGTATTGTCTCTAAAATATTTTCAACTTGTGCAGAGCCTGCCACATCGTAACTTCTTTGCACTGATTTTGAGGGGCCTGCATTATTATTATTATTATTCTTAACATCATCTTCATCACATGATTCTCCATCAGATGAGGATGAAAATGCATTTTCACTGATTAAGTAGCCCTCATCATTGTCTGTGCCATTTTCTAATGTCTTCTTAAGTTTCCCGACCGTAATCATTGTACCACTTAACGATGTGCTTTGTATCGCATTTGAAGAACAACTGCTCGCAGCAAGTTTAATTAAATTATTGTTCGTATATGGCTTTGCACTAACACCATTAAGTATAGCACTTTTATCGCATGTGTGTGCTTCGTGCTTGCTAGTAATTTTTATGGTTTCATTAAGGTGTGTTATAGTATTACAACTGCCAAATGTATTATCACTATTGTTATTTACTTTTTCCACAATAATGTCTCGGTTTTCGGACTTCCTGATTTTAGATAAGGCACCTTTATGATTCAACTGTTGTCCCTTAATATAATTATTATCGTTCGTGTTATCACATTCGTTATCATAAAAAGTCGCTGTTGTTTGTTGTAAATTTCGTGAACTACGTCTTGACTGTATAGTGCTTGAATTACTACTGATGATGTTGGACGTTATGGATACATCGCCAATTTTTTGCCTTTTCTTTTCTTTCTCTTCGTCTTTTTCAGGTAATTTTTCTCCCATAACCTGTTGATACTGAGCTGCTGTTGTTGCTACTTTTACTGATTCTTTCATTACATTCTCTGTTGATGTATTGGTGACGTCACTACTTTGGCCACTACTATTTTGTTGGTGTTGGTGAATGAATGTTGATGTATTGTTAAGTAATTGAAGTAGATCAGGATTATTGACATTATTCCAATTACGGAATGTATCCATTGGTACTAAAATTGGCACGGGGATTGCGACATAATGTGGCGATTTTCCACACTTACAGACATTCTTTTTGGATGTTGCACATTTATGGCTCTTCTTGAGCACCTTCAAATACTCAATTGGTAAAAATCCTTCAGACGAAGTCGGCGAGGAGCTCTCAAAATTTAAAATCTCTTCATCTGTACCAGTGTCACTTTCACGATATTTTCTCATGGATAATGGCGATTCTGACAAGCCACGACGACATGAAAGTGGACTACTCAATGGACTTGAATTAAAACGACGTCGATACGAGTATGGTGAGCTGAATGGGGACATATTTGTTGATGTAAAGTCTTTCAATAATGTCTTTGCTGTTGTTGCTGCTGCTGACGTACTTGTTGTAATGCTTGGCTCAAAGTAGTCCCAGTCACATTCATCAAATATTATACTACACTTTGTTGCGATCGACGATGTTGTTGAACTGGAATCATCGTAGTCGTCCTCCTTTTCAGACGAGTCGGAACTAATAAAAACCAAACGATAATCATCACTGTCCACAATTGGGAATCTCATTTCCGTTTCAGAATTCTCTTCACTTCTTTTACCGGCAAATGTGGTGCTGATCATTTCACCTTGAAATATTTATGAGATTTACGCACTAATTATTATTTATATTCATATAATTCACTTTATTTGATTAAAGAAGCTCCTCCACCGCTAATTGGTCAGTTAGGTTTGTTATTACTACTCCACATACGCTTACAGTTAGCTTGTTTCACTTGAACCACTCTCATTAAATAAAAGCAATAGTAAATAAGTTATTAAAAGTAAATTGTTAGTATGATATGCTAGCTAGCTACGGTTGTTAGTAAATAAATATTCCATTCCACCCTTCATCTAATTTTATGCCGGCTGTGTATTTATGATACAGTTAAATATTGAAATATGCACATACAATCAGAACCATAACAACCAGAACTTTTACTCGTAATCCCATGGCAACATGGAGGGAAAAGGTCGTAAAATTTGCTGTTCTTTTTCACACCATCCATTGTGCAGATTGTGCACGATACAAGAGATATTCAGAGCCAAAGTAAATTGAAATTTAATAGAAAAACTTTTCATTCAAATATAAAAAGTTACTTTTTTGTGGGATGTAATGGGAGTTGTTGATATTTGGTTTGTCTAAATGGGTTGGTTAGGGTTGTGACCTAATAGGATGAAGCCAAAAGACAGCTAGATTTGAAGTTTTAATTATAATTCGCAAGCTTTTTAATAAAATTCCCATAAAAGAAATAAATTTGTCAAAATTTACACGAAAAGCACATTAAGCGTGGGAAACGACACTTAATTGTGGACTAATAAATGGTAAGTGCCGTAATTGCACTGTTTACTCTGCTTAAAATCCAGTTAAATGTCAATAAATTAACAATCTTAATTTGCGAATTTTGTTTTAATTGTTTTGGTTTGAAAAGGTTTGCATTTTAAATGTCCGTTAAGTTCAAAGTGAGAATTTTGATTTTTTGACTGGTTTCTTGGTAAACCAAATGACATATCGTAGTTAAGTATCAATATAAATGCGCTCTATACCTAAAACTCAAGTTCCTTCCTTACCGGTTTATTATAGCTTTGTTTTCCAGTGAAATTCGTGCATTAATAGCAAAATTGAATCAACTCTGAATCTGTGAAAATAAATGTGCAAGTCACATGGGATTTAACTTTTATGGAGAAAAAGTTACTTCCGAAATGTTTGCACAACAATTTTTTTGTGGACTTTTACAGCAACGGTTACTTAGTGAATTTCTTAAATATATGGAATGTTCACACTCCGTTGCATATTATGGACTCTATCCATCCATTTCAAAACTTAAATTGGAAACTTCAAATTCACATCCATAATGAAATAATAACGATAATCATGTAAGGCAAGCAAGCAGATAAATATTAATTAAAAGATTATCGGACTGCAGAAATTAATGGATATGACTTAAATATTAAAATCAAATATTCGCATAAAATGTAGTATTGGAATCAACAGATATTGCATGCAAATGTCATATTTGATTATGCATGCTCCTGCATAAGAAATGTTTTATCAGATCCAACAAAGATCATTAATGCACATCAACTTTGCATAAATTATAGCATAGATTGTATATTCATGGTGAGGTTTATGGAGCACATATGGGGTCATAAGTCCAATATGACATAAAGATTTAACTATGACGTTTTATGAGATTGTAAATTTTGTCATTTTGATTGACAGAAGGTCGTGGATTTTATCGCTCGAGGATCAGTCAAATTATGAGGAAAATATTTGAATTTTTTGGTGGATGTGAAAGGTTGGCAAGAAAGCACAAAATGGGGATTTTCGTAGAAATAAGAATTTTGTGGCGTATTTATAGGAGGTTTGTTCATGTATGCTGTCCATTAAAATGACTCGCAGAAGGCCATAGTAGATCATCTGAAGCCCACTCCATACCTTCCATTTGTCATGATGGATGAACCCCCAGAATTTTCATTTATTCTAATTTCTTCAGTATACTCTGATTCTAGAGCATTTGAATATTCATAAAATAATGTAATTCCCAATAGATTGACACTTTTGCGTCATAAATACACATTAGATGATGCCGAGATTGCAGCAAGCATCCACAAGAATTTGAGAAAATTGGCAATAAATTTTGGTCTTAAAATACACAAGTTTACAGTTTTTAATATCATAGACAACAAAACTTTATCCTAACACTTATGCTCATATCATTTACAGAAAGCTTTTATGGCTGTATATGGCTATGAAAATTTAATACCTCACTTACGTATGTAAATTCAACTCATAAAATTCCCAGGAATATTGCAAAGTATTTTAGAATTGACTGGGATTTTCAACAATTTAAATCCATACACAACATGTATACAGTTGCATATAAATGCCCTTTCAATGCATCGAGTCAGAGAATCAAGAGAGAACACACAAAATCCAATTAAATTCCTTTATAGCATTTTCATGACAACATAAATGAATTGAATGAGAAAAATAACAAGGAAGTACGAAAATGATTGTTTATGCTGAATGGAAAATTTTCAGAACATGAATTTGCCAAATGCGTTCGTTAGTGACTTTATCAATTTCAATTTTCTGATTCTGGGTGTTGTAGCTGATGATAAGAATAAAGAAGCTTAATATGATTGAGTTTGACTAACATTTTAGAAGCTTATCTAGTTTAATTGCTAAACAGAGTTCTTAAAAGCAACAATACAAGGTGCTTTATTGATCAGAGAACATTGATTGTTTGTTGAGATGAGCATTGATAAAGCTGTTTTATTTTGTCGAGATATTGAGCTTATAATTTCGAATCAGTTGTTCATAATAATCGTATTAAGATGTTCCAGCAATGTGATGAGACACTGTAATCTAGTTTGAGCTCAAATTCCTTAAACGCAGACTTTCATTAAAGTTTATTTTAAGTCACAGCAAGCAAGTCAGGTCCAAATCGATTATCAGCTTGGATTTGGGAGTACAGACTGTTAACAACTCCATCGAAAGTCAATTTCCATGCGATTTGAACCTAAATTTGCTTTGAGTAGCAGCCAATTGATCACTTTCTTGTTCTGCAATTTTTAAACTTAATTGTAAACTTTATTAATCAGACTTAGTCACTTTAGGTTTTTGCTTCAAATGACATCAATAATTTTGACTTTATTAACCTTCCAGTCTCAAAAGTTCAATCAACTTTTTGTCATTCATGTCCCTAACAGTAATAGCTTCTTTGCCATCCAACTCATAATTGCTCAAATCCAATCTAAAATAAAAATTATTTCCCACGCAAGCTTTACAAAATTCAAAAAATCACCCTCAACATCAGCCATCTACAACTCAATCAAAACCTCTCAAAAACAAAGTTGAATTCATTTGCAATTTCTAGTGCTCTTGACTAGATGAATAAAAAAAAATAGAAACTCTCGTGCTTTGCCAAAAAAAAAGTTGTGCATTTTAATCAAATTTTGCTAAAATATTGCTTTCATTTGATGGCCATTGAACAACAAAATGTACAATATAATATAAAAAGTGAAAACAATGAGAGTCTGTGAGAGCGAGTCTGACGGTTTTGTCGATGTGAGAAACTAAAACTGCACAAAAATGGGAACTTAATTAAATTGAATTCAATTAATGTGAAGTTGGATATATAAATTTAATTAAGAGATCAATGCACCATTTATAGTCGATCAACAAACTTGAAATTTTAAGTACTTTTTATTTCTTTAATTGTAAAGTTAATTAATATCTTTCCCGCACGCACTTAATTGATCATCAAAAATTTGATCAATATCCGAAAAACGTTTTACAAAATCCAATTAAATGCGGGAGAATATTGGGATTGTGCTATTTTTTGCATGTTTACTTTCGATTCGTTTTTCAAATCGATTTTTATTTATTTTTGTTAATCACTCATCGATTGTGGATTAATATTTATGAATTTGGCTGTGCTATTTGTTTTTATGGGTTTCTTATCTGCTGTTGTTTGGCTGATAATGATTGAGTTGATTGTAGTTATATGAGCGTGAATAATTGGTAAATAAAATTTTGTTTGTGTGTATGTGTGTGCCCTTTAATGGAGGGAATGAATGTATTGATTGGAACCGTTGCATTTTTAAAAATTGATAATTATGTGAAACTTTATAATTTTGTGATACCAAAATTCCAATTAAGTCATAAAGGAGTTGTCATTAGATGGCACAAAGTAAATTAATATAGACCAGCTTAAAGCTTGCTTTAAAAAAACTTTTAACTTTTTGATTACTAAGTTCGGCTTAAATAAAGTTGGCAATTGAGTCTTATTCTTAGTCTCATATAAAGAAGATTCTGCCACTTAAAGTCAAATAGTTCTAAATATTTGCTTAGACAATTGATTAAAGATTTTGTAATTTCTTAATTTGAAAGGATAATGGTTCAATTCTTACTAGAAGTTGTCTCTATAATAATTTTGCTCCAAACAACCTATCTAGAAGTATATCAATCTAGTTCCAGATGCCTAAACCTAATTTTTTTGGTGCTCACACCTTTTTGCATAATTTGACTGTAAATTTGTCAAAACCAAATCACACAAACACAAATAACGCTTTGATAAATGAAGCAAATTACAATTTACAAAATAAATTGATCAATGCCAACAATCCAAAAGCCCATCACAGCATGTTTTAATTTTCAGTTTCGGTCAAAACAAACGAATCAAAAAATGGATAGAGAAAGGGAGACCGACCAGACCATATGAGGCAAAAAATTGAATTTGATCAAAAAGTCTACATTACAACCACATCGTTACTGTTATTACATAAGGGAGCAGTTAACATGTCGAACTATATCGAGGTCGGGCATGTAACAACAGTTAATTTTTAACTCATCAATTTCAATGCTGTAGATAAAAAAAAAGATTAAAAGAAGAATGAATCATATGGAGATGAGAAATATGAGAAAAATAGTAGAATTTTATGGGTCAGTGAGAGAAGAAAGAAGTGCCGAAGGCGAAAATTATCGACTAATTCAATTTAATTATGGAGATTTATTTCCTCTCAAGATAAAGTTGTAATTACGCGCAATTAGAAACTAATACAATGGGAAAATGTTAAAATCTATGCATTAAAAAATTGAGCATTATTTTTGTTTTCAAATCAAAAAATAATTTTAATTGCGCATTTCAAAATTTATTATAATATTAAGTTTAGTGTATTTGATAGCAAATATAATAAAATATATCGGTAAAATTTGTGGAGTGCGAAAACAGCACATTTGGCAATTCTATGGATATATTTAGAAATCTTTCAAACTTTTCAGTCGCAGGTATTCATAAACTTTTGTAATAGGATTTTACTAATTATCATTTGAAATCTTGTAAATGTCAGCAAAGAACAATAATTATATTGATACGTAATTTTATAATCTGACAAGTTTAGTTCTTTTGGTATTCTTGGTTAAATTTTTAATTGTGATGCTTAATTAGTGATTTTAATGAGCACAGAGGCGTTATCAAAATTGGCTCGTGTTTGTTTCATGACTTTTGAGGATTATTTTTATATTTTGAGGTTAGTAACTGTTGCGAATTATTAATTTAAGCTTTATTTTTGTGAATGTCAAGGAAACGTTCCGAGAATTAGTTCCTCTTAATTAATTTCTATTAAATTTTACAGTTTTCTTTAAAGAAAGTAAAACTTAACGTCGTGCATAATTACTTATTGAAAAAACTATTAATTAATGCATGGAATAATGGCTGTTAATGTTGTCATTTAAGGAAGTAATTAAGTTTTTGCATATTTTGCACTTGATTTCGGTTTAGGTTGTTTTTAAAAATTGACAATCTTTTTTTGTGACAGGAGAGGAGGAGGAGATCTTAAATCTTAATTTTTAACTGACGTCATTTACGAACAAATCCTCATGAATAAAATCATCAAAAGTTCATCGATTGTCTTTTAGCTGCTCATTAATTTCTAGCTTTAGTGCTATTCAAATTCCTTTCGTCTCGCCATGCAGCTAATTTCGATATAAATTTTGAGAAAACAATTTGCTTTGTCTCGTTCAAAACAAACACCTTTTCCTGCATTTTCGTTAAATATATCAGCATAAAATGTTATTAAAGCTCCTTATTTCTCACCCCTCTAATACTTCCTTATCAATTTCCTTTCCTTTTCGACATTCTCATCTGAAAAATGTTGACATTTCAAAATTTTCTGCTTCCTCGAGAAAAATTGACAAAAGGTAACAAAGGTTCAATGATCTTTTTTTGTTGCTTTGTTCAGCATGAAAACATATTTAAAGCTCCTTTGGGATGATAAATTTTAAAGATAATCAAACGAGCTTTTTCCTTAGAAATGAGAAGTTTTTTGTTCATATTCGTTATGATGGATACACATGAACTTTTTTATGCGATAATATTACACACCAAAAAAGTAAGTAACGCACGAGTTTCTTGCTTCATTTTTATTGTCTTACGGCTCTTTTTTGTTTGAGCTTTGTATCAGCATACAATAACACAAGGGTGTGTATGAGCTTGTATATTTATTATTCAACCCCAATAACCAGCTTGAATGTACGCAATATTCGCATTGTGATTATTATGAAAAAGAACTGAGAAGATTTGGCGAGAAAATGAAAAAAAAATTCTTTTTTTTTATGTTTGTTGGCATGTGCGGTGTTTTTTTGTTGTACATCCATATGAAGGAATGAAAGGAATTTTGTAGAGAATTTTTTGACCTTTTTTAAGGGTAACATGACACTTACATGTAAATTGAAATTGATATCCAAATTTTCTATGATGTCACTTTTGAAAATGATAAGTATCAATTCTTTTATTTTTGGAGGTGATTTGTGGGGTGTTAAGCTAAGACGGACTAGATATAGTTTATTAATGATGTTGTGACATTAAAGAAGCTAGAGTCTGACGTAATTTTTGATCGATTCCTTATTTGTTTCTTGACATTGACGTCTGATCAAACCTGTATATATATTCCCACTTCCATCCCCTGTCAATCAATATTTACTGAAAAATTTCAAATTTCCAGCATCATTACTAATGTTTAGTATTGCTAAACCCAAAAACCTTGTAAAAATCACTAAGATATCGTTCAACGAATCATGTCTAGCTTGCTGTTTCTAAAATATATCAAATTATTTGCTTTCTAGATTAATACAAAGGTGCTTACTCCTTACTCAGCTCCAGTCAAGCTCACTCAAGTGATTAACAAGTCAACGAAAAGAACAAACATATAAAAATGTAGGCACGAATCCTTTTCATCAACAAAAAAAAAACTTTTTTATGCTTTTTCGCTTTCATTTGTTCAGAGCAAGAAAGCAAAGAATTGTGGATGGAGTAAGCATACACACATCTTAATTCCGTTAGCTGAATTATAAATGACTTTATCGACAAATATTTCCTCGTGCATATAACAAATGATATATACTTTATTTCACTTCTTTTACAGTCGTTCGTTATTCCTCCTCGTCTCATACATACTACATCTTTGAGAATTTATTGAATAAAATAAAACAAAAATAAACGCGAAATAAAGTGGATATCTATCCAACTGCAATTCAATTTCTACAAGAAAAAATAAAAAGTTGTCTATCGAACGAGTGTTGGGGGAATGGACTATCTAGTTGTTACGTCCAACGTGTAAGTTTTGGAGCATAAATTGCGTAAAGGGGATTATTCTATTTCTCCTTCTGGAAAGGAGTGTTATAGCTACTAATGAAATAGATTTTTGATCTTCTAGATGGTAATATCAGCTATATCGTCGAGATTTTAGCTATATTTTTTTGCAATTAAACTGTTGCTAACGTCTAAACATTGTTTCGACCGATACACATTTGGATAATCTCGACAGCTACATTATCTTAAGTTTTGAAGAACTAAGCATCAACAATTCAACATTAACTCCCGCTACCATATTTCTGATGAACGAAACTTAAGTACGCCCCCCATCTGGAATGGCTTGTACATGTAGTATTATTGTGTGATGTAAGAATGAATAGAATGAATGAATAAAAATGGATTGATGTTTGAGTTTGTACATCAAGACTTCTTCATTCTTTTATAGAAAGACGGAATCAAAATCAAATCACGTTTTTCAATAAAATTGTAATTTTTTTTTTGCAAAATTCTGACGAGCATTTGCAAGAGAGCACGAGTGCACTTAAATAGAAAATGAATATCTCCTCAAAAAAAGCACATTTACATGAAGCTTTATGGCAACAAAAAAATGATGAATAAAAGCAATCGCGAATTTGCTTCAAAGAAGATACGAAAAAAACTTTTTCCATTCACGTTCAACATTCGGAGAAAAAAAGTTTTCGTTCACAACTGTTTCAGGCAGTTGAGTTTATGTCTATATAGATTTCATATATATCTCGTCATACTAAGTGAATGAAACATTTATAAGGTTTTACACATCGTCGATCACACGCTGAGAGCTTTAAGCTTCTTTTTGTTCATGTTGTAACTGCAATTATAACTTTCTGTATGGTAAGATAGAAACGTATGGCTGTAGGAATTTACTAAAAAAATTGAGATGATCAAACTTAAACTTGATATTCATTTAAATCTAATTCAGAATTTTTTTCAATTTTTGAGAATATATTTCTAAGTTGAACTCGAATTTTGAAGTTAAATATGAATTTTGAGGTTAAATTTGAATTTTGAGGTTAACATTAGTAAAATATAAATTTTGACAAGTTCAGAATGTGTATATTTAATTAAACTCATAAGATCAAAGCTTAATCCAAAAAGCCTCTAGTTTATCTATTTTTAAATCCACATATATGCACAATTCACCAACATCAACCTGCTGCGATAATAGAAAGAAGTCTCTTACATTCCACTTATTTTTTCAATAAGCAGCATCTTCCATAAGTACCTTCTTTTAAACATAAATATTTACAATTTTATTAAAACATTTTCATGTTTCGTACTTTTATATTTACACACGTGTATGCTTGCTTCTTGCTTCTTTTATTGTGCTTTAAAATTGTTGTTTCTATGTTTATGCTAAAAGCTTCATTCAAGCAACAATCATAAAACAACTTGAAAATATAAATTTACCTCGCTTGCACACCGTTTCGCTTGACTTTTACTTTTGCGACTTATTTTTTTTTAAGAAGTGATCCCGAGCGGTGCATAACCATTAGGAGATACACATCATATTAAAGTTTTTTTGGTTAATTGAACATAATTGTCGTCAAATTTTGAATAGAGGGAAAAAAAATCGTTGATAAATCCCATTCCATTGGCCAACCTTTAATCTTTTCAGAGTCTGTCTCGTTTAACATTTCTAGGATGCATTTCCATTTCAAAAATTTTACTCCAATTAAAAAGAAGCATCATCATATCAAAAAATACATCCCGTGCCTCATATCTATGTCCCATTCATTCCAAACTCTCATAGAAAACACTTGACAGAAAGTACAACAAGAAGCATAAATACATGAAAATGCAACAGATTTAAGTATATTCAAATTCAGATCCTTAATCCTCTCAGTCAATATTTTACGAGCAAGAAGTCATTAAGTATTTATTTTTAGATTCCGTGTTGAACTTTAATTGCTGAATCCTTTTTCAAAAAGTGACTACAAGCATGAATAAGTAATGTGGACATATAAATTACAAAAATAGGTACCTTGAATGTGTTTTTAAAATGTAAATAGATGAAAAGGAACCGAGCAAAAAATTTTGTTATAGCTGTTACATTTGCGACAATAATAAATGAATGTATATCTACGTGTTAGTATCGTAAACATGAATCTCTCCATTACCTAAATGAATTTTTTTTACAATGTTAGGGTCGAATGAAAGGGGTTTGTTACAAATTGTGTATTCATAATAAATTTTCTAGTCTACAAACTCTACTTTTAGATGATTCCAAGTTTCCGTTAACCCAATATTTTATTTACAGAATCAATATGTGATAAGAATAGAAATGAATTTGAGAACTCACCATCTTCTCTTGGCTTTTTCTCATTTCTGCGTTGGAGGACGACTTTTTTAAACAGGCCTGCTGCTTGCTCCACTGCATTCTGAATTTCTGCTTCGTTTAATGTGGTTTTGTGCTGTGCAAATAAAATGGAAAGTTAGTAATGGATGGTAGCTCTTGATCTAGAGCAGATTTAACATTTTTCATCACACGAATCTGAATGATTTCAATTCATACTTAGGCAATGATCCTACACAGTAAGCACTCAAGCATGCTGATAACAATAAACAAACCATTAACTCACCTCCTTTTTATCACTAAACAAATTGTCGTCCATCGACTGTGACTTATCCTCATTTTCTTTATTTTCCGTCTTAATCAGCTGACGAACGACAGCATCAAAACTTTTCGAGTCACCACGCATTTCTAACATTTTTGGGAATCTATACACAGGTTTTTTAGGCACTGATGATTGTGCTGCATCAACTTTATCCGGCTGTAATTCATCTGCTTTCTTCAATGAGATTTTATTTTGCGACAATAATTTTGGTGATGGAAGCTGTGGACTGTCAAGCTTCTTTTGTGTCTGATTTTCCGGCTGCGAGAATGAACGTCTCGGTAATGTCTTCATTGGTTTCGGACATGCATCTTCTGATACAGATCTCATTGTTTCAGGCTTTGGACGCCTACAATCTTCATCAGTTGAGGAAATAATTACCTCCGGATCAGGAAGCTCCCTTGACTTCCGACGGCGATTACGATTCTTTTGAGCCTGCTTAATGTAATCTTCCGGTGTACAATATTCTGATGAGCTGTCATTTAAGTAGCTGTCAGTACTGCGTATATTATGTGGTGTCTTTCGGGTTTGAGACTCAAAATGAAATGTGGATGTAATATCGGCTGCAAATTGAACAAGAGTTGGGTCAATTTCTGGTGGTGGTTGTTGTATATTATCATATTCATTATCTTCTGTATAATTATTTTCATCAGCTTCAGCAAATGTCGAACTCAATTCACTGTACTCACTTGTATATTGTGTCTCATAAATTGTTGATTCCTCATATTCCTCATTCAGTGTCTGGTTTGCCTCAGCAAATGTTTTTGAGATTGGTGAACGCTTCTCGCCTTCATCCTTTACATGATCTTGTCGCACAAGACGACTTGGTGAGCGTGCACGATTTGGAATTTCAGGCAATAGTCGACGACCTTCTTGTTGTGATGGTGGTAGAAGAGTACGACTAAAGCTGTATTCTTCATTGCTATGACTGCGAACTTTAATCATTTTTGATTGTGGATGCTGTGGTTGAACTGTCACTGGTTGGTCTTCATTCATCGTTGGAAAATGCTGTTGCGATAGGAATGTCCTCGGTGCTGGTTGAGGAAAGAGGAAATTTTGCTTTTGACGTGGTGAGATCGGAAGAAACTTTGGTCCGTGTACGGACAGCGTGCTCATACCCTCTGGATTCGATATGGTATTTTGTCGTTGGAACTCTGGCGAGCGCTTTATAAATTGAGGCGACTTTTTGGGTGGCGATGTTGGCAATAATTTAACATGCTGATCTGGATTTGGTAATGTCGTTTGTCGCATAAAACGTCTCGGTGATACGGCACCATTCTCACCACAACTCTCTGGTGATTTATTGACACTTAAACGATTCGGTGATGTTGGCAATTGACGTTGATGATATTCTGTCGTTCCGTTATTAGATGGAAATGTTGATTGACGTACAAATGGTGGATAACGTGATGTGTGCTCGCTGTCGGCACTTGGGTCTGGCGATCGACAGTATGAGCGACTTGGGGATGTGGATAGAAACTTCGATGATTGCAATTCATTTTGCTTACAAGGTAGTGTCGATTGTCTACGAATTTGATACCTTTGACCTGGTATTGGCACTGATGTGGTTTCATTTTCTGGTTCATTCTCATTATCTGTATGATAGGGACTATATTGTGGGCTCATTTGTATCGTTGGTGACGGTATTTTTAAATTACTCGAGTGTAAGTTGGAATCGGGATTGGGTAAAGTTGATTGTCGTAAAATTCGACGTTGGGTCGGCGGTGTTCGTTCGTAATTATCGGAATTATTGAAATCCATATTGCTATTATATGGAGACTTATTTAATCGTATAAGATTTGGATAACTGCTTGGCTCATGAGAGTTCAAATTCGGATGAACAATTCTTGGATCGACGCCGTTCTTTCCGTTTGGTATTTGATCCTCTTCGGGGTCTAAAGATTAAAAATTAAAGTTCATGATTTAAGGTTCATAAATGTCAAAAGTTTAGGATTTGATTACTTGATATTGTCCAAGAGCGGCTTATACTTTTCCTAATGATATCAGCAGTCGGTATGTAACCTGGCTGTATAATTGAACTACGTCTCGGTGGTGTTTGAATGTTTTGACTGTTCATCCACTCTCCAGATGCGTTTTGAAGTTCACTATAAAGAAATGAGAAATGGAAAACATTATTAATATTTAATATATTGTTGGAATGAACGAGAAGAGAAAATTTTTGAGTAAGAATTAATTGGACGCATTTTTGGTGAGGCTTTAAATTAATAGAGCTTTAATTCAGCTTTTTCAAACGCTGAGAGCTTTCGAGGAAGATTTTTAATAATGCTGGCAATATTCTATTCAATGATAAACAATACGAATCGAACCCACATCCTGATAAAGAAGAGAATCACTTATTTCAAATCCTTTGTTTAACCACTTGACCACAGGGACCTTATCCTAGCACCAAGAGATTTGCCTACATTGGCCTACATGTGGCTCAACCATTCTTAGAAACATTCTTATTTATTTGGAATTTATAGTCAGCAACTGAATCAACCTCGTATCCATCAAACCAATTGAATCCCATGTCAAACAACTCAATCTATTAGCTAAGTTATACAATAAATCATCAAGAGCTGCCAAAATAAAATAAATGTGCTTTATGAGGATCGTTTTTGATAGTTCATGTATCCTTCCATCCATCAATCTGCTTATCCATAACCACATTCACTTATGCAACATGTTAGGTAGACTATCAGGGGTGAAATTTGTGTAAAAAAATATTCATATTTGATTTCTCTACAATTCACGGCCTTCTCACTATGGTTTTGGAGTTTATACTTTCAAAAACACCGAAAATTAATTTTTTTACACTTTTTCAAGTTCCTGTTTTTCAAAATAAATTAAAGTTTTATGAAAGGAAAGCAAAATTTACGGACCAACGAGCACTATTTTTGCCGGAAATTGTCAAGTCTAAAAAGATTTTTTTTTTTCATGAAAAGTTAAAGAAAAACAACATGAAAAATGGTTTTCCATAATGATGTCCATGAAAGGAAGTCAATCATGAGAAAGAAAAAATGATTTCATCATTTAAAAATTTTTCTTGTCATTCATGCCATGGATGAATAAAAAGGTACTGTCGCTTAATTCATCTCTTAAAAATCAGTCAGTAGCCATCTAATGACGAAATATGCAGAAGGTAAAATTTATTAAAATCATTTTCCATGTTTTCGGTTTTGATATTTCCTTCCTTCTTATTATGCTTCTTATTTGTTTGGGGTTGTTCTTAAATGATAAACATTGAAATAGAACTACTTTTTAAACGAAATAATTCTTCCATTTGGAAGTGAGCTGAAGTGGCTCGGTGGCGGAATGGTTTAGTACTTCGGTACTTAATTATTGCAAACCGACATAGCGATCATGGGTTCGAGACTGGGTATGGGAAATTTTTCATTTGTCCTTTTCCGAATCATATGTACCGAAAATGAGGCTCACAACCTTCTTTTGTAGGCTATAGGCAGAAATGTCATCAAAAGAGTGGTTCGGATCCCACTATGAATTGAAGGTCTAGGTTTGAGTGCAGTGGGTTGGCGTATCTTCAATCGTTAAAATCTCATTAGCTGCGAAACGCCCAAGTGCACCTCTGGATCACAATTGATCTGAATAGGTGAGGGTTTTTTTTATGAAAGTGTTAGAGTCTGACTCCCTCCTTAAAGTCAGAATCACTTATGAACAACCCCTTGCCATACAGAACATTCTATTTGAAATAAATAAAAGTTTTGAAGGTAAAGAAAGACTCTCTGCCCAGGTAAATGTGGTGTTTTCGGTGATTTAGCTTTCCATTCTATTTTAATATTTTCTATGCTATTCAAATAGGGGGATAACACTATGATGGGAAAAAAGTTGATAAAAATATATCAACTTTTGTGGAAAGTTGATGACACATTTTCGATTTTCAGTCGGAAATTAATTCTTATTTTTCCCCAGCATGTTGTTATCCCCTTGAATCATTCACTCAGTCATTATAATTTGTAGAACTCGGTTCTATTTCTCATTTAAAGATGAATTAAGACATGAAAAGCTTATTTCCCATGATGCAAATGTCAGAAAAAGAACTTTTTAAATTTAAATTATTTTCCTAATTAAAACACACAAAAAAATAAATAAAGCAAGATAAAGTTCAGTGAATATAAACAAGACAAAGTTTTATTATTTATTCAAGAAAAGGGGGACCCTCGTTTCTTTGCTAGTTTGTCTATCAAGAATTTGATTGGATTATGCAGTCTGGGGATTAAAAGGAGGTGAAATTCTCAATTAAAGAGATGTTGACCTTGAATAGATGTCGATTAAATATAATATGGGAAGTAGGAAGTCTGTTTTCTGAGTCACATATTAAATTTTAGCATCAAATTCGAAATTATTAAATTAAAACTAAATTGCTGAATTTCACATTCTGTTAATTAAACTGTAAAACACAGCATATAAACAGGATGTAAACAAGCATAATAGTTAATGTTCTAGACGTGTATAGGAAATTCAATTTCCACAATTTGATGGAATACAGCTCCACATATATCAATGAAATTTTCAAAATAAATGTTCAATACTTTCCCATCAGCAATGCTTCAACAACAGCAGTAACATATGAAAATTATAGAGTATATGCAACAGATTGTAGTTTTTCACATACATGAATATTTCCTGTAAAAAGTTTTTTTTTTTCATTTCGGGAAACAGGAAGGGGGAGAGATAGCTACTAACTGTTCAAACCATAAATTTACAGACAATGAATTTTTTAAAGCACCTTGTTGCATACAGAACTTTAAATGAATTATTTAAAGAATCCATTTCGGTCTTGTATTTTCTGCGTGAATAAATTCAATTCTGGGGATTTTTTTTCTTGTGGATAGCTATCGAGTCAGGTGTGTAGCAAGAATCTTTTTGCAGTACTGATGTATAGTTTCAAGTTTTTATTTTTTTTTTAGAATTTCAGATCCGTTCATAAGACCAACTTTAAATGGATCTTGAATCATTACATACATTGATATCGTTCATTAAGCAGTAGAACACGGAAACTTGTAAAAAACCCAAAATTTTAAAAAACCTTAGAAATCAAACCAACGATTTTCAAATTACAACTCCAAACTAAAGTCATGTGCCTCGATTATTACTCCAATGTGGCATTTAACTGCTTAACATGAGCTCCTAAGCCCTGCCTACACCCCTGATCAGAACTAAGCCTTAGTATTTCACGCAAAGTTGAGCATTTAAAGATACTTTTAAGGGAGGACGGCATCTCTTATTGAAATGTTTTCTCAAGAAAATTTATGTAATAAATTTTAATAAATTTAGGTCACTGTCAGATTTTTTTCAGTGCGTGTGCCTTATTGTTTCAGTTAGAACGAAACGTAGTTGTTGGAAATTTCAAATTAAAGCAAGGATTTTTTTTTATCAGGAAATAAATTCAAAGGAATTCATAACAATTTTTTACAAGAATAAGCATAAAAATGACATCTCATAAAAACTTATAGATCCAATACAGAAATCTCAAACTTCATATTCCCATAACCCTCAAGATGACTTTCAAGAAAAAAAATTCTTTTCCCATAATTTCATTAAGAATTTCATCAGTAAAAGAGACATTCGTGATTGTCGACATTCCTTTCACTTTCAATTCCAACCCATATCATAGTAACGCAATATTATGACAAAAGGCATTGTAGGATGTATTTCGTTGTAAATTGTAAACATTGTATGACAGATAAAATTAATGTCATGAAATATTCACAAAAATGTGCTATAAAAATTTTTGGAGCGTGATTTTTGAACAATTTATGGTAAATTGAAGTACAAAGTTGAGGTTTTGGTGACTGTTTGGCTTCAATTTTCGATTTTTGGAGATTCTAACTCTGATGAATTTTAAAATTGATTCTTAATTGCTGACTTAATAATTCATTTTAATAAAATATCAACATGCTGTGCAGAAAATCTGCAAAAATTCCTATAATTTCACTTCCAATCCCCTGCTGCGTTGAAGACAATTCAAGCATTTAAAATTCTTTTAATCTCTTTCACTGCATTCATACCTAACATGTCTCTTTCATTTTACACCATAGCAACTGATAAAATTACTCTTCGACACTTCTGTGCAGTAAAAGTAAACGTTTATGATGATGAAAAATTTTATTGTTCACCTACATCCATCATCTCATTGTATAAAGTCAAAGAATATCATAAATTACTTAGGTGAAATTCATAACAATCTGTGTCTGACGCATGTGTGAAAAATTATTAACATTTTTACTTTGAAAATTATTATTTAAAAATGTTTAAGAGAGAGAGAAAGGTTCTTCATCAGTCAATGTTGTTTAGTAAGAAAAGTGAATAAAATTGAATGTTTGGGCTTGGTTTGGGCATGAAAAAAGCGCATACTTGAAAATTTCATACTTTGAAAAATCAAAATAACTTAAAAACTAATTGAGTTGGTTTAAAACCTAATTCAATTAGTTCGAAACCTAATTAAGTTGGTTCAAAAGCCATTTAAACTACAAACATTAATTGAATTTTTTTTAAAACCAGTTGAGTTGGTTCAAAATCAATTGAAGTTATCAGAAATGATCCGAAATCAATTAAATCTGTTCAAATTTATAAAATTTGTTCAATACTAATAGCAGCAACTCAAAAACAAAATCAGTAATTGAATTAGCAATGACAATAGTAGAATAAAGGACAAATTGACATCAAAAACTCCTCTTTTCCATAATAACCAAAATATTTATGCTTAAAAATTTTAAAAGTTTTTGAGAAGAGGCCCATAAAAGACGGAAAATAAAGCTGTCAGTAAAAACTTTCAAAACCCTTTATAATATTATTTGATATGCTGTAAAATAGTTTACATCACTTTAAACTTTTTTTTACTCATACACTGAATATTAAATCAGGAATTTCCATATATACAAGATTCATCATTTTATTTATAATAAAAAAAAAATTCATTTAAATCAAGGTATTCCTCTTTTTACAGCCATTCAACATAAAATAATGTAATCCCATTGTTTTATAGAATTGAAGCAATTCAAACATGCCTGACTTTACAGTCGGTGCAATAAACAGTTTATACTTTCAGTTCAGTAGACTATTAAAGCCATTAAAATTGAATTGA